ATATGAATGGGAATATACTTCACAGATATTTTACTCATAAGAATTCCTAGGGGTACCAATAATTGTGTCCAACGTGTATTTGAGAAAACATTTATTTCATAATGAGATTTTCCCCCATTTTCAATTGTTTTAGTTCAATGAAAGGTTAGATATTTGTGAATTTCTTTTTAATAAAAGATCAAAATGATTAACAATGCAGATGTATTTTCACAGCCTTCTTTGATCATATTTACCAAGGGTGCCAATAATTCTGACCACGACTGTATAAATCCAAACAACATTGGTGATCACGTTTAAATCAGTTTCTACAAACCTCTTTTTAATGATCAGCTTAGGGGGAGAAGTCTTCATCTTTTCAAAATATGTGATCATAGGTTGCCATGTCTCATAAAATTTTTGGACAGATCCTTTCATTAAATATTAATTTTTTTCTAATTTCAAATACAAAACCAGATCACACATCCACATTGAAGCTTTAGGTGGGATTGTTGATTTCCACTCAAGTAATATTCTTCTTCTCGCTAATAAAGTGACAAAAGCGATAACAATTTTTAACTGTTTGTCAATGATATTTTGCATTCTGGTACACCAAAAATAGCAATTTCAACACTGGGTTTTATTTCTAAATTAAAGGCATCATTTAGTGTTTTAAATATTAGTGCCCAATAGTCACTCAGATTTGGCAAGCCCAAAACATATGAAAAAAGTCTGCTTTGTCACTTTTACACCGATCACACACCTCATCAACATCGGGGTATATTTTTGAAAGTCTACCCTTTGTGTAGTAGGCACGGTGAATGATTTTGAATTGTTTAAGACTGAGGCGTGCACAAGAGGTTGATCCATTTACTCTACTCAGAGCCTCATCCCATGTTTCATCAGGTATTTCAATCCCCATGTCCTTTACCCACTCACCTCTAATTCGGTCAATTAAAACATAATTTGGAGACATAATGATCATATATATTGCTGCAATTTGACCTTTAAAGGGGTCATATGATGCGATTTCAAGTTTTCCTTTCTCTTTGGAATGTTACAAACTGATTGTGCAGAGATAAGATCCCTGAAGTTGCAAAGACTAAAGTCTCAAAACCAAAGAGATATTCTTTATCAAAGTTAAGACTCTGCCACACCCCCCTAAAACGGCTCGTTCTAACACGCCCCCACATATCTACCTCACTATGTGGAAATATTAGCATAATGCCGCCCAAATGTGCATGCAAAGAAAGAAGGCGTGGTTTCAGTAACCGCAGTTAGTGTTGAAGCAGCCATGTCAGGGAGACGCTGTGTGTTTCTAGGCGAAAGCAAAAGCACTTTATTTGGCCTTCCGGGGAGACTGTAGGATTTTATCCAGCAATGAAGCAGGTGGCAGATCAGGAAAAGTTGAGCTCTGAGCTTGGATAAAATGTCGGACTTGAAAGTAACGAAATAGATTAGATTGTGACAATTTAAATTTCTCTGAAAGGTCACTAAAACTAGCAAAAGTGTTATCTATATAAAAATCACTACATCTGGCCAAGCCTACCCTCTGCCATTGTACATTTGTGAAGTCTAGTTTGCCAGCAGGGAACAAGTCGTTATTACAGAGAGGGATTAGCAGAAAAATACCTTTGTCTAAACTGTGACCATATCTTGAGGGTAGAGCATACAACTGGGCTTGAAGAATATTTAGAGGGAGAAAATGGTAACTTCATTGTTATTAGAGCAGAAAGTGATGTAGAAATACAAGTATTTGCTTCCTCTTTACACCAATCAACCTCTGGTGTGTTATACCAACAAACTATTTTTTGGAGGTTAGCCCAGTAATAGCTCATAAAATTAGGAAACTCTAAACCTCCCAAGACCCGTGTCTTTCGAGAAGCTCCTTACGAATTCTAGGATTCTTCCCCCTCCACAAGAATGATAAAATAGGTTTACTTAGTGTATCGAAAAAAGCATTTGGGAGAAAAACTGGAAGGGACTGAAGTAATTACAAGAATCGAGGTAAGACATTCATTTTTATACAATTCACTCTGCCTGCTAGAGATATGTAGTACGTCCCATCTCTGAAGATCAGATTTAATTTTACTTATTAGTGATAAAATTTAATCTTTAAGGGGTCATATGATGCTTTTTTAAAGATCATTATTTTGTGTATTTGGTGTAACAGAATATGTTGACATGCTTTAATGTTCAAAAATTACAGAGAGGGATTAGCAAAATCAAAATAAAAAAAATTAGAAAAATACCTTTGTCTAAACTGTGACCATATCTTGAGGGTAGAGCATACAACTGGGCTTGAAGAATATTTAGAGGGAGAAAATGGTAACTTCATTGTTATTAGAGCAGAAAGTGATGTAGAAATACAAGTATTTGCTTCCTCTTTACACCAATCAACCTCTGGTGTGTTATACCAACAAACTATTTTTTGGAGGTTAGCCCAGTAATAGCTCATAAAATTAGGAAACTCTAAACCTCCCAAGACCCGTGTCTTTCGAGAAGCTCCTTACGAATTCTAGGATTCTTCCCCCTCCACAAGAATGATAAAATAGGTTTACTTAGTGTATCGAAAAAAGCATTTGGGAGAAAAACTGGAAGGGACTGAAGTAATTACAAGAATCGAGGTAAGACATTCATTTTTATACAATTCACTCTGCCTGCTAGAGATATGTAGTACGTCCCATCTCTGAAGATCAGATTTAATTTTACTTATTAGTGATAAAATTTAATCTTTAAGGGGTCATATGATGCTTTTTTAAAGATCATTATTTTGTGTATTTGGTGTAACAGAATATGTTGACATGCTTTAATGTTCAAAAAACACATTATTTTTCAAATACTGTACATTATTGTAAATCCTCTATGCCCTGCCTCTCTCAAACGCTTCGTTTTCTATAAAGTCCCTCCTTCCGACAAGCGCAGTCTGCTCTGATTGGTCAGCTGACCCAGTGCATTGTGATTGGCCGAACACCGCAAGCACTCGTCGGAAATGTAACGCCCCTTACCATAATCGCGAGCTTCATCTTTCAAAATAAATGTAAAGACAGTAAATAATGTCATTAGTTTTACCATCAGTTCACTTATTTAATGTCATAAACTGATTATTGTGGTAAATATGCCTGACAAGATTGTTACGCTGAATTACATTTTAGTGGCTGTTTTCTGTAAATCAGGGTAAAAATTTATATTTATTTGCTGTGCAGAAAAAAAACTATTAAACAGGGCACTTTCTAATGTATTGAAAAATAACAACAAATGCTGTATTACATTTATTGTTTTAATGCTTGAAACCCATTTTTCATCTTTGACCCACTAATAAATAAAGTACTTGTTTATTAGCATTTATGTAATCAACAAATCCATAAAAATGTCACATAAGCTCTCATATATACATATTCACAGGCACACGATTCAAATGAGGCAGTACAGACTTGCATTGATTGGCTGGAATTGCTGTTCATCATCAGACAACGACTCGCTGATAGGTTAGCGGTGAGGTTAATAAAGCGCCTCAGAGCGGAGCTCTCCCGGAAGTCGTGTTCAAAACACGGAACAAAATGGAGAACTTGACGCAATGCCAAGAAAAGAAAGAAAAAAAAACACGAAGCCTTTGTTAAACGTCTGTTAAAATAATTAACATAGAACACGTTCGTGATTCTTCATGACAGTAATATTCAGGTCAAGTCAGGCGGCAGCTCAAAAGTATCCACTAAAATGTATGAGCATTGAAGGTAAATCCTCCCACTGAAGAGACCCGCGGTGGCAAAGGTAAAAGGGTCGAGTTCATATGTTAGCTCTCAGGCTAACCAGCTAGTGCCTAAAACATGTATACCGATGTATAAATCACATCACAATGATTGGCTCAGTTACATTTATATACAACATTTGCTCTAGAACAACGCGAAATGTGCCAGTCATTGTAAACCATACTATATTCGGACAGGCTTTTGTCCTTAAATAAAAGCAGAAGCGTGATTGTTTACAGCACGATGAGGGCCTGCATCTCTGCACTGCACTGTAAACGGGTTTTTTCCACGGAACGTTTTGACCAACCATTGTGCGACATGCAGAACTGAAAAGCTGCTCACCTGTGATACGGAAGGTTTTTTGCTCTTGGGTTTATTGCACATTATTTGTTATTGTTTTACTCCAGTGAAAGGTCATAGTTCGTGACCCCGTTTGCAAGCGTGCGAGAGTTTCCTTCCTCTCGGGCTCGCTCACGGTTGCGCGGACACGAGCGTCTGGAGCCAGGCGACGCTGACGTCATCATGTCTGTCTCCTACACGAGCGCGCTGATTGGCCGCCTGTTTGTTCCTAATTCACGAAGCTTTGACGTTAGAGAACCACACACACACACACACACACACACACACACACACACAATCAATATCCTCCTGAGAACCAGAAATAAAAAGCTTTGTGAATTTAGTATTTTTTCATGTCATTACTTTGTTTAGAGCATAAGAAAAAAATGGTAAAATAACATTTTTGAAAAATTATATTTTATGTCTATGTTATGCTATGTGCTCTGTAGAGGACACCAGGACTCAGTTTTTCTAAAAAAATAAAATGACAAGAATAGACATGAAAAGGCAAAAACAATGGGATTTTTAAAAAAATCACCAATCAATTTTTAGGTTTCAGGATTTTTTTTATACCTAACTTTGTTTAAGGATGGTTCTCAACTATGTTATAAAATATATAACAAAATGATTTGATATATATTTTTGCTTTATGCAATATGTGTGTAAAAATTCCATAAACTGGTTTTCCCATTAAGCACAATGTTATCTACACACTGTATCTAATTTGCATATTAAAGTGCTGTTGGGACAGCATGTTGAAAAAAAGAAGTGTAATAATGGTAGTAATTGGCCAGATTTTCATAATAATATATAATATTTCATAAGAATATTGATATATAATTTCTTTTCCTATTCAATTCTTTTGTCTCCCAAAATGTATAATAAAGGTGCTTTTAGTCCTGGTGTCCTCTACAGTGGACATGTATGAAATTATGCCTTGTTTCATAACAGGAAGTCATATTTTTATTTGAAACCACATAACATTTTCCTGAGATGTTGATTTATGACAAACAATTTGAAAATATAATCATATTTCCATGAGGATGTACAATTTTATCACTAAATTAATGTCAGCTATTTTTAAAGACCAAGGAGAGGGAGTGGTCATGGTGAAACATCCAATCATTTGGGATCTCTGGAAAGCCCTGAATGTGCTCTGTACAGGACATCCAGACTTACAACTGTGACATGTGAGGTCACAATTCACTAGAATATAATGTCCTCTACAGAGGCAAAAACTCCATAGCTGGGTCTCAGGAGCATATATATTGCCAAAAGTATAGGGACACCCCTTCTAATGAACAGGTTTGACTACTTTAGTAATTTCAATTAGCACAAATCTTAATGTTTAAGCATATAATGCTATTCTAGGGAATTGTGTGCTTCTAATTTATATTAACAGTTTGGACAGGAGTCACAGGACCCTTTTCTATTCTAGCATGACAAGAGGTTTTGACAAGGGTCCTGCCCAAGCTGTTAATATAAATTAGAAGCACACAATTCCCTAGAATATCATTATCTGCTTAAACATTAAGATTTGTGCTCATGGAAATTACTAAAGTAGTCAAACCTGTTCATTAGAAGGGGTGTCCCTATACTTTTGGCAATGTAGTGTAAGTGAAGTTATTAACGTCATTTTAATAACACCCATCTAATTTTCCAATTAATATTCAAGTATAAAAACAGCCTCTTACCACTTCCATTGTTAGTTATTTTGGCATCTTTCCTCCTCCCCATCTCCTCCTTTGTATGCATATTTATTTATTTACATATTTATTTATTTATGGATAAATAAATATTTATTTATTTATCCATTGCAGACATCAAGCCAAATCTGTTTACCACTAATGCTAAGATTATATGGGCACGCAAACTTGTGATATATATATATATATATATATATATGTGTGTGTGTGTGATTGGTCTGCTAGAACCCCTCCCTCCATATGCACTTGAGTTTTGTGTGTGTTTATGTGCACTTTAATGTATTTTAATGTTACACCTTCTTATATTAAATAAAACAAAGCAAAGAACAAGTGTCTTATCATTTATTATACTACATAGCATTATACATCAGTAGTTGTCCGCAACAAACAATGTTGATCTGCCGTGGTACAAGTCCTTGTGCAGATTGAAAGAATGCCATCATCTCCTGTTCCGTTGTTGTCTCCTTTTTGTAGTTTTAAATAATGATTTGATATTTATTTGCCGCCGTCACAGCTATAATGCTTCTCCGACGAGCCGCTTCTTCTTCGGCTTTTGCCGTGGTACTGCGGGTTACACCAGCAACATGCCCGTGGACACTGCAGACTAGCGGTTTGCATGTGTACTGCACATTGACGCGGACAACGACGCAGAAGTATAAATGAAAACTGACGCATAGCCTACGGCGTAAAGGCTACGGAGTAGGTCCGACGCAGAAGTATAAATCAGCCTTAAGTCCTCACTAGAGGCTATTAACCACTAGCTAGTTTGTAACTAAATCTATACATTATTTGGTTGCACCAGTTGTTCGTAAGGCAGGACGTACCCAGCTAACAATTTTTGGTTCCCAGAAAGTTAGTTTTTGGTTCCCAGAACGTTGTTTTTTTATGGTTTTTTTTGGTTAGCCAGGAAAGTTTTCTTAAGGTTCCCAGAACATTAGTTTTTGGTTCCCAGAATGTTATTCTAACGTTCCCAGAACGTTATTCTAACATTAATCTAACGTTCCCCTAACCTCTTCACTCCGATATGATCACCCTGCTGTATGTCATGGTGAGACTGTATAGTATAAGCGGCATGGAAATTATCTGTATGGACGCCTAATCAGTATTATAAAAAACACATCTTGTTTTTATCTATTGTTTAAGTAATAATCTGAGCACATCAACCATCATATGTAAGATTAAATAAGATTAAATCTGTCCATTAATATGTAAGATTACGGAGTAAAATTACCCAGATTTTACATTTCTTCTGCACCAAATAAAAATTACTTCAACACAATGTATGGTTCATAAAATGTGACATTTATTCACAGATATATATATAAATAAAATAATAAAACATTACTTGACAAAGTCAGTACATTCATTTCTTACCATTGAAGTGTAGGCCTACTTATGCAGCGGCACCTTCTTTTGATCCGTAAACAAAAATCTCTCCCTTAACATCATGTTCTCTTCAGTTAGGCATTTTAAATCCCTCCGAAATCATATTTACTCTCATAAATATATTAATTTTAAGTAATCATTCAATGAAGAGATCGATAAACGAGCGAGTCAGTCAGCCAGTAAAACGAAAAATGACCGTTAATTTTTAAATTCTGCGAGCGCGCGGCTGCGCGTGCAGATCAGAGGCGCGCAGTAAATGAAGATGAAACCAACCCACGCATTTCTGATTTCTGTTATCACTCTACGCGTAACCCTGGCTTAATATGATCATTTAAATCGCGTTTTGATTGGTCTAAATTCTGTATTTTAATAAATGCTGCATTAAACGAATTTCAGGGCTCTGTATAGGTCATTACACATTAACATCTGCTACGTTTTCATTGGAAAGATAGTTTTACAGGGTTATAAAAATAACCTGAAAATAACCATAAGGGAACGTTCGGTATAAGTTCTTTTTAGGTTATTTTAGAAACAACCACCCTGCAACGTTCTGGAAACATTATTTTATGGTTGCAAAAAATATAACCTAAAAAGAACGTTCCCCTAACGTTAGTATTTGGTTCCTAAAAAAAGAATCAAACGGGAACCAAAAACTAACGTTAGGGGAACGTTCTGTGTTTGCTGGGTAGCAAGTAGTTCGTAAGCTCTCCGTAAAGTAATGCATAGTCGCATAATATGATGTTTACCCGAAATCATCCAATAGAAACCCTCAAATACGCGAGCGGCAGGCACGTGCAGAGGGGGCTGCGGTAAGTGCTTGAGCACCTAACCCTTTTCCCTTGATGCCCAAATTGTCAAGGCAATTTTTTTTTAATTAAACGCCCTTTTGTGAAGATCTGCCCAATCTAAATATTACAAAAAAATAATGAATAATAATTTAGACATAAATAAAATGATCCACATGATGACCTTTCACCTGACGATCTCATCTGGAACGATCCCTCGCCCTCAAGTTCAGACACCTTTAGCGCTGCCTTGTCCAAATACCCACACTTGTATGGCGGGGTGCTTGAGCACCTAACCCTTTTCCCTTGATGCCCAAATTGTCAAGGCAATTTTTTTTTTAATTAAACGCCCTTTTGTGAAGATCTGCCCAATCTAAATATTACAAAAAAATAATGAATAATAATTTAGACATAAATAAAATGATCCACATGATGACCTTTCACCTGACGATCTCATCTGGAACGATCCCTCGCCCTCAAGTTCAGACACCTTTAGCGCTGCCTTGTCCAAATACCCACACTTGTATGGCGTTATTTGCACGTGACCACTTGAACACTTTTATGACGTATTTCCTGTATTTGGCCCAAGTGTTTAAGTGATGATGAAGACCACAAGTGTGTGTCGACCTTTTCATTACCTGATGGGACACACTTATAGTGTTGTAAAAATGCAAGTGTTTACATAGCTTTATTTAAATTTAAATTTTAAATACTTTGCATTTAAATGTCTGTTCAGTAGTCCCTATAACATAACAATTTAAATTTGTGGTGCTTCTAATTGTGATAAAAAGCCGTTGCAAACAATATAAATATCACCACTTCTCATCTTTGCACCAATAAAACGTAAAAACACAGTTTTTCTACCAAATTATATGTAATATCTAATTATTATATTAATATTTAACTTGCATTGGAAAGGTTTCCGTGACCTCTCGCGAGATCTCGGCAAAAAGTCTCACGATTTATTTCCAGAACATGATGCATGATGGGATACACTAAGCCTCGAATAGAGCTCCGGAGCGGTATTTGAGATAGTGTGGATTTTGTGTGCTTTAAGGGCACGGTGTGTGTGCTTGTTTACTTATATTAAATTATTATTTTACAAGAATGACGTGAAGAGAGCATGCACATCTGTTATTTATATTGCTGTGTGTAGCCTGTGGAAGTAGGCTAACGTTATCTGCAGCAAGGGGCTATAATATTTTTGTTCAATATTTTCCTAATGACAATTTTATGATTGGTTTATAAAGGCTACTACGAACACCTTTTTCCCCATTTTTATCACAGAATAAAGCAGGAAATATATTTTATAGTTTCTATACTAAATGATATGTAAATCGGTACTGCATTATTCATATAGTTTATTACCTGGCGATAACTTGAAAAACACACTTAAACCATATATTTCGCAATCGTGTGTTTATTGTCTTCACGTTTCATCAGTAAATGTTTCTGCTTTTTATTCAGCTCAGCTACAGTACAGCTATAGCGGGATGCTTTTGTCCATGTTAGGGATTTCCTGTATGTCATTAATTATTACTTCTATGAGTCTTTTTTGGACTTTCTGCACGAGAGCGCCCTCCGGCTTCGAGTATGAATGAAACACACTGCAGGAGAGTGTTCAGTGCTCCTGATATTCACGTCTCATTTTGGATACGAATAAAACGTCAGGTCATGCATAGACTTTAAAATTATTTATTTGCCAAACAGTAATTTTTTTGCAAATCCGTGCCAGTGACGGAGGGTTGTGAGTAAGCAGATCCGCAGAAGCTTTTGCGCCTCCGCTCTGTTGCTATACATGGTCATGATTGTTGCATTGGGCTGTTGGTCTGTGGGCTGTTTCATGTGAAAGAAACACAGGAAATCAGGTGTGGGCCCATATAAACCTCTGGGGCCTATGCACACCTTTTCCCCCTTTGCAGTGCCCCTTTATATGATACAATACTAACTCCACTAAAATAAAATAAAAATTCCCGCCCCATGTAAGGTACATGTATGTTAGAGCAAGCTAATAAAGTTTAAAATTTCTGATGATTTTTATTGTTCCATTTGGTTTTCCAATCTTCTGTGTAAGCATCCGTAGGTTTCTTGGAAAGGAATCATCACCTAATGGCTATTCCTGGCAACAGTTAAAGATGTCACTGCTCGCCACCGCAGTACATGTAATTCTAGCAATGAAAAATGCTTTACAACATATAACTAGTGTTCCTGAAAGTACATAATTAACAAGTAAAATTAGCAATGTAGCTTGGTCCTAGCTCATTACAGCCTTTTAAAGGAGAAAGACCATTTAAAATCCATTTCAAATTTACATGAAGACAGTGCCAAGCATCTAAAACTGGAGTGATAAGCTATGTCTTAGCTCTGGTTAATAGTGGTACTACAGAATTATAAAGTCTCTCAACTGTTGTAATTTTCCCCCCCATTTCATGGGGCCTTAAAAGACAAATTCATGTACGATTGTTTTGTAGTTTTTATACGTATTTTATTAAACAAGCTAAAAGATTTCAAGGAACAAGGAAATTACATCCAGAGGTTTTGAAAAAAAAATGTCATGTACAACAGCAATCTTACATTTGCAACAGATTAGCATGCATGAATAGTCTCTTCTGCTTGGATTAGTCCTCTAGGATAGGTTCACAGCAGTCAGGGATCTTCACTTTCTAAAACGGTCAAGTGTTGACTTATTTCCCAACTTCTTTTCATTGGATTTCTCTTTCAGCTCTTTCTCTCTTTCTGTTCGTTCTTGTACGGATTGCCGAATTTCGTCCTGCAGAATCACAGTAGAGAGGAAGTGGTGTGAACAGAGCAAATAAGAAACACTATACTCAGAGAGGCTTGTGTTTAAGTTAAAGACTTCCTGCTCTCAAAAACCCTTTAAGTCTATGATATTCTGACCTCTAGATACAGCTTTGGTCCCTCCTGGAATACTGTCAAACTTTTAACTTGTTGTCCACTAAACATTTTATTCTGATTGTTTAAAAATGTTACATCTTCAATGTGAGGTGTCTGTAGTACGAACAATGTGAGATTATTCCAAACAGAGACAGAAGACAGAGAGAGAAAAAGAGAGAAAAGAAATACCCTCTGATCCTCATGGGCGACTTTTCTCTTTCTTTTCTCTATGGCACCAGCCGAGCTTCTTCCTTTCTTCTTTGTCTTTGGTTTAAATTTGTCTTTTGCCAATGGATCAAAGCCCTGAAACAAAGACGAGACACAAAGTAAGAGCTAATGACACCAAACTGATGGATACATACTAGGGGTGTAATGGTACATGTATGGGGTCTTTCGGTTCGGTACGAGTGTAAATACAGCATTGTTTTAACCACTGCACGAGTGGAAATTCATTGGAAACTTGCAATTTTATATATGGTTACTTTTGATAAGAAACAAAGTCTCATCTTTTTTTCAGGAAATTCAAACAGTAAATGCCGTTTTGACACTCTTTGATGTGGCGAGACAGATCGCTGTACAAACACCTCAGTTCAAATGGCAGTGCGGAGCGCGAGTGAAGCGTGAGCATCCCTTCCTCTTTACTACTAGATTTATTGTGTAGTAAACATGAATGAACATCCCGTGCCTTATCTAATCGCTCAATCAGTGTTTCAACTGCTGAAAGACATCAATAAAACGGCTTGTAAACAAAATGTCTTTTTTAGATTCTCTATGGGGTTCAGGTCTGGTGAGTTTGCTGGCCAGTCAAGCACTTTTGGCAGTGTGGGCAGGTGCCAAATCCTGCTGGAAAATGAAATCAGCATCTTCAAAAAGCTGGTCAGCAGAAGGAAGCATGAAGTGCTCCAAAATAATGTAAATTGTCCAAGTATTAATAGTAGGGAAAGCCCCTTATACTGGAGCGTGGCCACTTATGAAGTGTTTCTTGGAGGTTATAGTACACTAAAGAATGATCATATGACTTTTTACATACATGGCGTATGTAAAAAGTCATATGATCATTCTTCAGTGTACTATAACCTCCAAGAAACACTTCATAAGTGGAGAATCTTGAAGAACTTGATTAGCTTGTTCAGGTGTGTCTGATTAGGGTTTGGAGCTAAACTCCACAGGAAAGTGGACCTCGAGAGCCAGAGTTGAGAACCCATGATTTAGAGCATAAGAGGTAGATTTTTATCCCTAAGGTAATTGTAATTAAATTCATTTAAAGAAAGATCAATTTGTTCTGTAAAATACTATTTAATAAAAAAAAACTTATACACACACACACACACACACATATATGTTTTTTTCCCCTCTGCTGTACCAAAACCATACCGAACTGTGACATCAAAACCGAGGTACGTACTGAACCGTCATATTTGTGTACCGTTGCACTCCTAATACATACTGCATCCATTCATTCTAATATCAGCACCCTTGACAAATACGAGCAAAACCAACAAGGCGCTTCCTAGGAATTTTCTCTTCATTCATACGTAATATTAATTTTCATAATATTCACAAATCTTACCTTTAATTGAAGTACATATATATATATATATATATTTATATATACACACACTCTGGTCTCTCATAGCAATGGGTGACTATAGCAATTTGGCCTGTTTTCACCTCATATTTATACCCCAGTAAAACAGGAAGTTATGGCTTGTCACTTAAGTCTTACTTAAAAACCTACAATATGAATGGGATTACACCTCAACTAGATTTTTACTCATAAGAATTTTTAAGGATGGTAATAATTGTGGCACACGTTGTGGAAAAAAAAAATTAAAAAAATGTATATATTATATATATATATATATATATATTTTTTTTTCTTCTTCACAACAGTAAACTTACCAATGCTTCAACTTGTTCCTTGTGCCTCTGCTCAAAGCTGGTCTGGTCTACTTTACTCAGCTGTTCTGGGTGCAAACCAATCAGCTCAGGCTGCACCTTCTCTAGCAGAGCCTTGACCTCCCACTCCTGTCTCTGTTCATAGCTGCGGTACGGGTTTGTATCAAGAGCATCAAAATTGGGTTCCCCTGCACCTGGAGAGGCACAAAAAAAGCAGGGATATTTCTCTTTTTTCAGTTATAGGAGAACTGTGACCTGTACATTTTTGGTGACATTCAACCCTGCAGCTCTATAATATACTGAAAGAAACAGATTATAAATAGACTTTCGTTCTTCCATACTTCCATGGTGATGCACATTATGTGTGTTGTGTGTGCCTGTATGAACACTGCATTTTTTCTCTGCCAAATTTAAGGAATAAACAAAATTTAACAATACATAAATATGTCCTCTGGATGTAAATGTCTAGGGAGCAGACAATGGGTTGCATTAGCAACACTTTAAAGTTTGAAAATAACACTTCCAATATATCTCTTCATTACTTTAATTCATTTTACGAATAAATTGCTTGAAATCTTTAAAGACTTGAATAGCTCTGCTCACAAACACCAGAATACGGAAACAACTTTTAATGTACCTTGAATGAATGAATGAATGAATGATGCATTTATATAGCGCTTCATTGTGTATTGTTGTACACCCAAATCGCTTTACAATCATGTGGGGGGGTCTCTCCTCAACCACCACCAGTGTGCAGCATCCACTTGGATAATGCGACGGCAGCCACAGGACAACGGCGCCAGTGTGCACTCACCACACACCAGCTACAGGTGGAGAGGAGAGAGAGTCATAGAGCCAATCAAGTGGTTGATTACACTGTCAAACTTCAACCTTCTGATTACGCTGAAAAATTGTGTTCGTCTCATTTTCGAATGCAAATCTAAAAGCTGTGTGCAGAATTATCTACTTCAGTGTGGATTAATCTAATGTTTTGAGGAGTATGTGTAACAGTCAGTCACTGCACCGGTGTGAATCCTATACTTAGTAATCACAGATTCTAGCCTACTTCTTGGAATATATGACTCAAATAAGAATTTTCACCATATAGTGTCCTCTGAATAAGTAAGTAACAAGTCTGCCACGTTTGTTCTGACCAACTGAGGAATAAAGCATTACAATAAATCGCGCTATCAATGGTGATTAAATCTAAAGATCAGTTAGCTCATATCACATCAAACCGTGCAAATTATTATTATTGTTATACTTTTTTCTCAAATTGTTTATGTTAACAACATCAGCATTGCGTGACTATGTGCGTATTAGCGTGTAGATTTCAATCTCTGTAGTCTAATATCTAATTGTCATATCATTTGAATTTCATACTAAGAAATTATTTTAACCCAAAAGGCTAATTATTCTTCCTCCCAACTGGTTGTCTTTAAAATACAAATCTTGTGTAATCCCAGGCTATCTGTAATCAGAAGCACATTTAAAACTGGAATATAATTTAATTTCATTCACATGTGTTTCATATAATCCTTTCTGGATTACAATCTGCCATCAAAATTATACATTTAATTATTCTAGCTGCTGTGAGAAAAGGCTATAAACGATCCTCCACCTGCACGATCCTCACATGTGATAGCCTAGTAGCCAGGACAACTTCTTTATGTTTACAGAAGTGACGTAATGACGCAGCAGCATGCTGGAATTTCCTGCGAAAACCTACCAGTACCACTCAAACTAGAAAACATTATTATAAACTGACCGTTGTGAATCAGGCTAAAGGCGATAGTTTCTCCAGTGAAATTGATAAAAAAAATAAAAAAAAAGTGGGCTCCAAAAACTAAAACACACAAACAAATATATAATAATAATAATAAAAACAAGTATTTATTCCCCATTGACATGTTTGTTCGTCTTTCAAAAAAACTCACTTAATTTTGTGCAGTTCCTCCGAAAACAACACTTCATATCTTCATTTTGCAACTGAAGTAAATGTATTTTGATTTAAGGATGTTTAAATGTTTGTATTGGAAATCAAGAAAAGTACTGAGAAAGACATACATTTTTAGCAATGCATGCAACATTTAATGCCCTTACTTTATGAATCTTTTTACTTTTTGCTGCAATTCAAGACAAACAGAAACCATGATTATCTGATGGATCACACATGCTTTACAGACTTAAATCCTGAAAGCTGCTGCTCCTTTGCATTAAAGGTGGGGTAAGCAATTTCTGGTAGTCGATGTTGACATTTGAAATCACCAAAACAAACACGCCCCTACCCCAAAAGGGTCTCGCCCCTATTTTGATAGCTCCGCCCCACACATACGTATGCAACCCAGGCAACGATTAGTTCTGTGAAACAAAGCAAAACCAATGTTACACCGTGTCTACCAGTGGCGTAGCCATCATTTCAGAAGTGAGGGGGACAGAAATATACACACACACATATATATATATATATATGTGTGTGTGTGTGTGTGTATGTATGTGTATATGTATGCATGCATGCATGCGTGTATATATATTAGGGATGTAACGGTATGAAAATTTCATATCACGATTACAGTGACCAAAGTTATCACGATTATCAATATTATCACGGTTTTGTTCAAATTAGATGAAAACGTTCAAAAAGAACTGATACACACACTGAAAACATTTCAATAAGTTTTATATTTGAAAATCAACAAACAACTAATACAATTGGCAGCTATATGCACTTTTTTTTAGCATGAACATTAACATGAAGCCCTAATAATAATAATAATAATTAATCACTTAACGATCATGTGATCTTCGGTTAGGAGATCTTGTGATGCTTTTTAAAGCAAAGTTGTGGTTGATTTCGAGTTCACATACAAACATAAATAGAACAGGCTAATTAAATTTGTCTATTTTAATGTAAGACAACATATTTTTCGTCAGTGATAGAAATATGATTTAAGACG